GCAGTTAATGGCTTCCTTCTCCTAGAGCAGGCTGTGTGTGTGCCAGCGGCGGGGGTGACCAGGGTGAACCATTCCAGGGCTTAGCTCGATAATTCAGGTGGCCTGAGGTTCTGGAGTTGGGCTGGGACCCCCACTGAACCGGTCAGGATTCCCAGTGCTTGCCCTCTTTGAGGTCACTTTTACATTTGGTCCTTTTTCTTTTATCCTTACACCAAAATTGGACATACATGGGTAGCGAATGCCTGAAATGACTGCAAGGTTACTGAGGGGCGAGGGGACATCATTCCCTGAACCAGAGCTTTCAGTCCTCTTCTCTGACCCATCCTTATTTTCTCTGATTCTTGGGAAGCAAACAAGAAAAAGAAAAGAAAGGGTAAACATTCTCTGCCTGCTTTCACATTCAGCTTCTTGGCTTTCACAGAGGTAGTCTTCAGTAAAAAAGCCAGACACAAGTTGTGATTTCTATGAGGAAAAGGGGGTTTATTAAACATTTCTTACTGACTCCCATCTGGATATGTGAGTTGTAGTTGAGTTGACTTGGGGGAATGTCTTCCTGTTAATAATTCTTGGGCTCTCTGTTGCATGGTCCAGACAGGAAATCACATGACAATGAGTATCCTGAGGAAAATCTCCGTGAAAGACATTGACTCGTGTCCCTTAGACAGAGTACAGAAAACAGGATGTGGCAACCACCTAGAGATGGAGACCAACGCTGTCTGCTTGGTAAGAACACGGTGGAATAGAAGCTGAGAGTAAGCAGAGGTTACTTCACGGGAGGCCTGGGGACACCCCCTGGCTGGATGGTGAGCTGTGTGTGGTCAGGGACTGTCACTGGGGATTCACAGATATCTCTAGGATGAGCAGCACTTGGCAAATAAGCTCAATAACTCAACAATAATAATAAATACATAATAAAAAATAAAATAATAATAATAAAAAGCTCAATAACCATCTGCTGAATGGACTAACCAGTCACCGTTGTCTGTGTGACATAACTAAGCATGGCTAAGTAACATGTTTTTTCATGAGCTAAAAGTCTGAAAGAATGAGTCCCAACCACACATGGGGATATCTGTTGAGTGTGCTTACAGCATAGGCTCATTATATTTGGCTTCTTTGGAACCTAGACTGATGTTATTGCTCATCAGTTACTGGGTTTCTTTTTTCTGATAAGAAACCCTGCCCTCTACCTGGATGTGGGCTGTCCTACTGCCTCAGGAAAATGCACAGAATTCATAAACACCTGTCCATGGCCCTTGTATTTATACCTGGAAAAAGCGTGGCTTACCAGGGCCACACAGTTAATAAACGTTAAAGACGAGAACCCAGGTCTGCCAGACTTCCAACTTTTCCCTCCATCAACCACTACTTAGCAAAATCCTGCCATTTTTTACTCCATCAACCACTTTTCTCAAAATAGTCTTCAGGATTCCCCAGTGGGAAAATTTTTTCAGAGGGCTAAGGGAAAGTTTTTTTTTTAAGAGAAAGGGAAAAAATACTTAGATGTGGCCAATTCTTTCTCAAAGTCATTTCACTGCAAAAGCATGAAGGACTGCCTTTCATCAGACAATAAGTTTGCTCTTCCAAAGCTGGTTTAACACTTAACGAGTGTTCTACACTGTACTGCAATGTAGCCCATGGGGTCACAAAGAGCTGGAGCCGACTGAGCGACTGAACCGACGTTGTACTGAGCTCTGTCTGATGCGGGATTGTAGCAACTTCTTAGAGAATGTGTTAAAATACAGAAGATGATGTAGCTACTTAGCAAAATCCTGCCATCAGCCACCACGTCAATCTAGAGCCACACTTCATCAGATCCAGATGCTATCAGTTGTAGAGCACACCATTATTTTATGTAATATTGAGAAGGAAAAAATGCTGGAAGAAAAGTGCATGGAANTCCTGGGTTTTGAAGGGAGAGTTTTGAAGATCTCCTGGAGAAGGGAACAGCTACCCACTCCATTATTCTGGCCTGGAGAACTCCATGGACTGTACAGTCCATGGGGTCTCAAAGAGTCGGACACGACTGAGCGACTTTCACTTTCACGTATCTGTTCTGAGTCCCCAGAGACCCAACAGAAGCAGAATCACTCTGAATTCACTCCTCCTTCTTCCCAAACTGTTAGGGCTTTTGCTGAATGTTGAGGTTGAGGATCGCCCAATGAAAGGGTCGCCCCCCCAGGAGATGAGCTGAGACTGCTCCAGAGGAGCAGCTGGTACTGTTTGTCTCCATTGCTTGTGCTACAGAGGTCTCAGCCTCACAGGTTATGGAGAAGAGAAGAAGCAGCGTATTCTACATCGGAGTGGAACAGCAGCTTACAAAACCACCCGAGCGCCAGGGATGGCAACCACACAAGCACTCGTCAAACTATTTATCCTGAACTGCATTCCTTTTCTCCCTCAAACTGTAAAAGCATAGTTAAAACAAACTGGGAGTGGGTCTGGTGAACATGGTGGAGATTACTCCACGCTTGGCCAGAAACCCTCTGTGCCCCAGGCAGACACAACAGGGTGCAGAAAAAAGAGCCTGTTCACCAGTCCCAGGAGGACTGGCCAGAGCTCTGGGATGAAGTTTCTACCTTCTGCTGTTTGGCAGAAAGGGATGAAAACAGTAGAGTGTGAAAAGCTGAAAAATTAAGAGTTCCACACTCAAGCACCCCCTTCCATCTGATGAGAGGCACAGAATGAAATCCAGAATGTTATCCTCATGTGTGTGTGGCCGTGAGACAACCAGGGAATTATGGCAGCCTTGCCGAGCACGCCTCCCCTGGCCCTGCTTGCGGAGTGGCTCTTGTCTTCTCCTGTTCATTTCTGTTCTGGCATGGCTTCCTCAGAAAAAGGAGGGCTCAGTGAAAGAGGCTGCAAGTGCATAGACCCAAGAAGGCTCGGGCACTGAGGCCTGGCAACCGGCAGGGACTGATGTTGACCACTTTTGCGCCTCTCTGATTCTCATGGGTGAATCTGTTCAGACTGTTTGCTATTGTCAACTGTAGCCCCCTCCCCCATGCCTCAGACCAGACAGTGAGAGTGAAGTGTACTCGCCCAGCCTTCGATGATAAACCCACCCCCGCCTGGACCAAGATGGACCACGGGCCAGGGTTGGGGAGCAGGTATTCCTTTAAGAGGAGGCCTGAGGGGTGGGGGCAGGAGAGGACAGTTAAGATAAATTATTCCTAGTTGCTGCCTTATTTCTTCTTCCACATTTCTCAGTTTTTCATGTAAAAACGATGGCCTTTTCTCGACACCAGGGTAATAGCAGCTAATTGTTTACTGAGTGCATCCTGGAAGTCAGGCACTGTGCTAGGACCTCTGCCGGTGTCACAGAGGTGAACTGAGTCCCAGTTTAGCTCAGAGAATTAGGCGACCTGCCAGGGTTACATGCCCAGCCAGGTGTGTTAGGCTCCTGCCCACTCACCTGAAGGGAGATCAAGTCTGGATGGCAGAGCTCCCAAGGCCCGGAGGACAGCTCTCTAGAGTCTTGGATGGGGATGGCGGGGGCAGGGTGCCTGGCTGACAGCTGCCAGGCTGATTCATCTGTGAGTCCAGCCTGGTGGCATATGCTCCCCCAGAAGCCTGACTCTGACCCTAGCTGGATTGTGGGTGGGTGTGAGCAGCTTAAATTGAAACAAAACAGAGAAGAGAAGGGAAAAACCGGCCCATTCCAGGCCAGAAAGGAACAAAATAACATTTGAGAAGTGAGAAACCAGAAGAGAGGTAGGGTTTATTCAAAGGCCTGGAAAGGGGCAAGAAAATGAAGTGGGAACCAGGAAGCTACAGGCAAACTGCAGGAGCCTTCAAATAATTTGTATGATAAAAGAAAAAGTCAAAAAAAAAGAAAAAAGAAAAAAAGAAAGAAAAAGTCATCTTGTTGGAATTTGTGGGGACAGTGGCCTAGATTAGAAACAGTATCTTATAATTTACCTCATTTCTAGGGAGAACAGGCCAGAATAGTGTAAAACTTTTCTAGAACAGAGAGTAAATAGTACTAGGACATATTTTTTTAAGAGAGAGAGAGAACGAGTTTTCTTCCTAAGACCTGAAGCCTTCTGTCCTTTATCACAGGGGGACCCGGGAAACCCAATGATGTGCCAGCTGAAGGAAATGAGTCTGTGGGTGCTGAGAGGAATCCTGTCCCAAGGAGGGGAGAAATGCCCAGGCCTGTTTCTGTACATCAGAGTGGAAGACTACAGCGACTGGATCACGTCCAAAACCAGGAGGACCAGCTCCCCCCTGTCTTCCTTCCATCACTGGGAGAACCCCAGTCCTTTACCCAGCTACTCATCACGTGATCTCGTCACACACAGAAAACAGGCTGGGCTGAGCCAGCTTGCATGGCCCCGACTATCCTTCCAAGGACAAGAAAGGTCCACCCTGCATTCCACGCGTTCACTGCCAGACAATGGCACTCAAATGAGTCTAGACCTCCGGGAAAAGGGGCGGAGGGAGCCAGGCAGGTCTGAGATGGCCATCCAGCCCACGTACTATGACTACTATGGTGGGGAGTTCATGGCGCCTGGGCCCCCTTCAGGCCAGACCAGGTTACATCAGCCCCAAGAAATAACCTTATTTTTCCTTGGCGCTCGTTTTCTTTGGTAATGGGATCTTCGTCTAGGAGCCAGCCCTCCAAGCCGAGGAGGAAGCTCAGAACGCTGAGTGCCAGGCATTCACCATGCTGTGTTTCGGTGTCTCTTTTTGAGAGTCGCGCAGCTGGGCTGCCGTGGATAGGCCCACGGCTCAGACTTGGGCCGGCTCCCTCTCCTCTAGCCCCACTTCCGCGAGCAGGAAGGTCGCTTTCGTGTGTGCTTGTGAACTAAACGTGGGCTAACAAGTGTCAAACCATTAGAGTGCCCTGTGTTTCTTTCAGTGTTCCCGGGTTCCCGGGGCCAGGCTGTGAAAACACTTCCCCAGGGGGGCTGAGGTGGCCTGGGAGGTGACCGGCAACCTGGCTGGAGAGTTGGGGACCCCAGCCAGCACAGGGAACAGTGAGCGGACTCCATGACTTAGACAGGAGCTGATGACTTTAATGGATCACTTTTTGGTTGGCAGCCGTAGCTTCCTTCTGGCTATTTCCCAGGGCCGGAAGTTGCCTGCAACTGCTCATTGGTGCTTTTCATCTTATTCCAAGCTTTGCGGTAGCCTTTCAAGGACATCTACAAAAGGAGAAGGGGGGTGGGGGGGTGGGGGGAGATGGTCATTTGAGACAAACGGATTGTGCCAATCACACCCGCATCCAGCCCTGTGATGGCGCGGATGACCTTGTGTTGGGCGCAGTGTCTGCATGCAGGCGGTGGCCACCGGTCACCTTGGGGCATCGGAAGATTCTCCTAAAGAGCTTGTTTCTGTTCTGTGAAGTGAGAAGTTGCAGGCTCCTGGTGTGATTCTCTGCTGCTTCTTGGCCCCAAATATGATGGGCCCATGTTTGGACCCTAGTTTATTATCCTGCTGCCAAGTGACCACGGGAAAGGCAGAAGGAAGCACCCTGGAAAAGGACCTGGGGTTTACATGCCAGAACACTAAGCTTCGCAAGTGACCTGACTGGGTTTTTGCACTGCTCTAAGGATGTCTCTAGTGTCCTGTCTGTGCAACCTGGCCTATGGCAGTCTCAGTGCTTCCCTTTTATCTTTTTTCAGACCGCAGCGTTTCATTTGCACTTTTCCTTTTTCTTCTCCACAGCTCACAATGGGCAAGGGGGCTTCCGGGCACACTGTACGGTATGAAAAGGCTGCGGACTTAGTCAGCGGAAAGACCCATGTCAACTGTGTAAATGCATGGAATCAGGCTCCGAGTGGTATTAAAATCCATTATTATCTCATTTTTTAAAAACCTGGCTTATCCATGTATTAAATAGCAATCACTTAATTATCCACGGTGGGGAGAGGGACTCAGAAGCTTCCAGAATTCAGTAAGAAAATAAGCAACTAAAAACACACTATTGCTACAGAGTGTCTTCCTGATAACCTGAAAAGGCCCTGTCTCTAACAAGAAAAAGGAGCTTTAAGGGAAAAACTTTTTCAAAAAGCCATCTTTTATTTTGGTGTAAGCGTTGAAGCAATGACTGAGATTTCTCACAGACATTACACTTCCAAAAGCCTGCATTCTTAGCTCAGAAGACAAAATCCTAAACAAAAGATGGGGGTGGGGGCAGTGCATAAGACCCTGGGGGGTCTTGGGACTCACCTCTGCAATCTCCACTTTCCTCTCCCACATCCTGATGGTCTTCTCCAGGTCCCCGTTTCGGATCTTCTCCCGGATATACATCATCACCTGTGGAGCTCGGAACTCAGACAGCTGCTTCCGGAGCTGCCTGTTCAGAGCCAGGGCCTTGGCCCGGTCCTGGGTGGGGGAAGGGACCAATTAGACCGTGGGGCTCCCATGGCAGTTCCAGCCTCCTGGGACTTACTGGCCCTGGCAACTCCCCCTACTTTCAATGTCGTTCTAAACATAACGTTTACATTTTCAAAGGAGTGGGTGAAATCACAAGATTCTGACTCTTTACAGATCCTGACATGTTTGTCCAGTTCAGAAACACTAAGTGCAGTCTACAGTCTTTCTTCCTCCCTTCCTTTTTTCCTTCTTCCTTTCCTTCCTTTATTAAGGAATGTGCTTTACTTTTGATTGCTTAGGGTTTTTGTGTGTGCGTGTGTGCAAAATATACATAACATAAAATTGCCCATTTTAACCGTTTTTAAATGTACAGCTCTGTGGCCTTCAGTATACTTGAATTGTTTTGCAGCCTTCATCACCATCTGTCTGCAGAAATTTTTCATTTTCCCCAACTGAATCTCAGTATCTATTAAACACTTAACTTCCCATACCCTTCCCCAACAGGCCCTGCAACTACCATTCTATTTTATGTCTCTATGAATTAAAAAAAAATTTTTTTTGGTCTCACTCTGTGACTTAAATGAGCTTAGTTCCTTGGACTGCTAGGGGAGTCCTTCCTCCATTCTCCATGAATCTGACTACTCTAGATATGAGTGGAATCATGTAATAATTGCTCTTGCATGACTGTCTAATTTCACTTAGCGTAAATGTCTTCAGAGTTCATCCATTAAGTAGCATGTCAAAATTTTTTCCTTTCTAAGGATGAATAAAATTCTGTTACATGTATGTATGGCTCATTTTGGTTATTCATCCATCTGTCAATGTAGAATTGCTTCTACATTTCAGCATTGTAAATAATGCTACTACAAACCTGGGTGTACAAATACCTGTTGTTCAAGTTCCTGCTTCCAAATTATTTGGGGTATATACCTGGAAGACAACTTGTTGGATCATACGGTTACTCAGTTTTTTTGAGGAATCTGTCTTTTAAAATTTTATTTTTTTAAATTATTATACAGTAAAATTAACTAGTCCTTTTCTTGAGTGGATTTTGAATTAGCATTGTCCTTTTAACAATTGTTTTGAACAGGCAACACATTCAATCCAAACAGTATAAAAGTGCACAGTGACAAGCTCCCATCCTACCCCTGTCTCCAGCCACACGGGTCCCCTTCCAAGAAGCGTATACTGCTTTTAGGTTTCTTGCATCCTTCTAGAAATCTCTCAGTTCAGTTCAGTCGCTCAGTCATGCCCGANCAGTTTATCAAGCACCTTCACAAACACAACTCCTTTCAGCTCTCAATGATCCCAGGAGGTAGGAAGGAATCATTATCCAAGACTCAGAAACATTAAGTGATTTGCCCAGAAATTTCACAAATTGTATCACTCTCAAACACCTGCTACCAAATTCTAGACTCTCAATGTTAAAGTAGAGGGTTGTGAATATCTGCTTTGAGCCTCAGTTTCCTCATCTAGAAAGCAAGACTAATCAGATAACCTACATAGTGGTTATGCAAATCCAATGAAACTCTTAAGTGGCTGTCAGCTCTTAGCACAGGGTAGGGTACACAGTAGCACTCAGTAAATTTTAAGAATGATCATAAAAAGTTGTATCAATTCGATACACCTTCAGCGATATAAACATGTCTGCAAGCCGATGAAGACCAGAAAGAGGAAAGAATAATGAAAATGTATGCTGCATGGGTAAGGCAAGAGTCAAAGAACCCCTTCCCTTTTTGGAAAGAGTTTGGCTTTAGTACAAGAAGTAGAAATCTGGGGGTGAAACAAAATTAGAATATACAAAATTCTCCTAAAAGGAACTGGCATCTCTGGGAGAGCCTCATATTAAATCTGGGATCACTGCCTCTGGGATACTTTGAAATAATAAACTCAGCAAATGCGCCCCCTGGAGACATCTCGTTGTGTGGGGAACCGGCCAGTGGATGGCGCGGTTTCACCTGCCCTAGGGACCAAGGAGGCATTTATTGGCCTCAATAATATACTGGGCTTCCCCAGTAGTTCAACTGGTAAAAGAACCCACCTGCAATGCAGGAGATTCTGGTTTGATTCCTGTGTCAGGAAGTTCTCCGGGAGAAGGGATAGCCTACCCACTCCAGCATCCTTGGGCTTTCCTGATGGCTCAGATGGAAAAGAATCTGCCTGCAATGAGGGAGACCTGGGTTCGACCCCTGGGATGGAAAAATCCCCTGGAGGAGGGCATGACAACCCACTCCAGTATTCTTGCCTGGAGAATCACCTGGACAGAGGAGCCTTGCAAAGAGTCAGACACGACTGAGTGACTAAGCACAGCACAGCAATGATATACTAGGGCTTGTTGATCAGTCTCCCTTAAAGATCGCTCCTTTTCTTTTCTCCTCCATCTTAAAACTGAGACTCAGAAACTTCTTAAGCAAATGTCCAGGTAGTTGGTAAATAGATTCAAGTCTGCTCCCCATGAATAGCAACATTCCAGGGGAGACACTCTGCAGTGAAGAAGTTCATCTAGCATGAAGCTGGTCTCCAACTGGGTATACAGTCTCAACTCTGCCAGCTTCTATCTCTAAGAGTTTTCTCCAGAAGCATCAGCTTAGATCTGTTCTAGATTCTAGAAGAGGCACTTCTGCTGCTCCATTTCCACACTTGTTTCTCTCCAAGTAGGGAAGCTGGGAGGTACAATCTCTGTACAACATAATCTCTGACACAGACATACTTGAGAAGCTGCAAGAAGCCGCGAAGTCACCATCACCCATTCCAAAATCCCAAACCTTCGTGGTGGTTTTGTAAGACAGGAAGAAAGAGGACTGGATCTTCCAGTTCTGAGAGCTTCTTATCTTAGACACCTTTGCTGAGCTTTTCGAGTGGGGCCCCAACAAGGGTCCTCCTGCCTGGGGTTGTTGAAGCCAATAGAATGAGAATGCATTCACTTCAAAAGCAAAGGAAGGTTTTCTTCTTTGATTAAACAAGTGAGATCTAGCAGTACGCACTCTAGAGTACACCACTCCGGACAGGCTGCTTTATGGGGATCTCTATTCACTTTTATTTATCCAACTTTTTTCTCCCTGTCAATAAATCTTGAAGAATCTTCTGTATCAGCACATAAAGAATTTACTCTTTTTAAACAGCTGCATAATTTTCCATTGTATGGATGTACCATAATTTAACAAGTCCCTACCCACAGTCACTTAGCTTCTCCATTTCTTGTTATAACAAACAGTGCTGTGATTACAAATCTTCTGGGTATACATCATTTTGTAAAAATGCAAATATACCAGTAGAATAAGCTACTGAAAGTGAAATTGCTTATTCTAAGGCAGTGGTTCTCAACCAGAAACTATTTGCCTGCAGGAGACATTTGGCAATGCTGGGAGACATTTTTGTTTGTCACAGTTAGGGGAGCGCTACTGACATCTAGTAAGTAGGCTAAGGTCAGGGATGCTACTGAATACCCTACCAGGCACAGGACAGACCCCACAACAAAGCATTATCTGACCCAAAACATCAGTAGTGTCTAGGTTGAGAAACTCTGCCCTAAGCATGTGACTATACACAATTTATGGTGCTAACTTGCCTTCTATTATAATGATCAAGCCAATATACTTCTGCAGCAATGTTTGAGACTTCCTGTTTTCCCTATTCTCTCAACACAATTGTACTATTTCATCTTTGTTAGTTTAATGGAGGAAAAATGGTACCTCATTATAGTTTTACTTTTTTCTGACCCTTATGGGTGAAGAGGAACATTTTTCATATGTTTGAGATTTTTTAACTTTTTTGTAAACTGTTTAAGTCTTTGGCCTACTTTTCCTACTTTTGTTAGATTTTTCCTATTAATTTCTAAAATGCATTTATGTTATACGAAAATTAGCTCCTTGTGATGTTAGATACAACATTTTCCCAGTTACTTATCTGTTGGCCTTACTTATGATGGTTTTTGTCATGCAGAAAAATTTTTATTTTTATATAGTTGACTTTACTGATTTCATGGTTTATGGGCTTTACATTTTAAATGTCTTCCCCATTCCAAGATCATAATAAAAATGTTCCCACTATATAAATTTAGGACTTTAATGGCTTTATTATTTACATTTAAATTTATGATACAACTGGATTAATTTCACCATTACATATAAGTTCCAAGTTAATTGTTACTAACTGAATAATTGTTGTCTTTTATTACAATGTCACTTTTATCATAAACTAAATGTATCAATATTAATGGATACTTATATCAATTGGCTTATAGTTTTTCTTTGATCTTCTAGTCTATTCATGGTCTTTTTTTTTTTATGGTCCTGTTTTAAATACTGTAACCTCATGACACGTTTCAGTTTCTAGTAGGGCTAGTCTCCTCCTTATTAAGAATTTTAATTTTCTTATTTTTCCAAAAAATTTTTGAGTCAGTTTATTTAAGTCTTTCAAAAACTTCTGCTATTTTAATTGGAATACTGTTATTTCACAGATCAACTTAAATAGAACTAACATTCTTATGATGTTGACTCTTCCTAACCTAGTATGTTATTTTGATTCCTTGCTTCACAAAAGAATCACCATCTTGTGACACTGGCATCACCTGGGAACTGGGTGAAAATGCAGAGTCTCAGGTCATCTATCCAATCAGAAGCTGCTTGTAACAAGATCCCCAGTCATTGATTGTCTCCTTCTGGTTTGAGAAGTGCTATTTTAATTCAGTTTGAGGCAACCTAATAAAATTAATTTTCTATTAACTTGTTTTCAGAATGCAGTAAAAATTTGTTGGGAGGTGTACAGTGCATACCTACTATCTGTCCAGCATGTCACACAACTGTAGGGAGACCGAAAAATATATTCAGAACCATCAGTGGACACTCCTGTGAGAATGATGATTAGAGAATACCTGAGATGAAATATAATGAAGTAAGAACTAAAGCAGTAAGTACTAGCTATGAGGGAAATGTTCAGAAGAGCAGGGACTGCAACCTCACCCAGCACCCCGCTTGAAGAGCAGAGTAAAACCACAGGAAAGGCAGGCC